CGCTGTGGCCTCAGCGCGCTGTTGTCGCCAGCGTCGCTGTTGCAGCAGCCGAAATCCATGGCAGCGATCAGCCAGCTTTTCCTGTTGTGCCGGCTGGCGCAGGTGGCTCCCTGGAAGCTGCCTGGACGTGGCCATCCCCTGCCGGGGGCGGCCGGGCATCTCGCCCCTTCCTTCACTGCTTCCTGGAGTTACGTTCCTCCGCCTCTGCTGCCCTTTCGCCTCTCTCTGCCGGCAATCACGCCTAGACCTGAGGAGATTCCCCCCGCATTAGTTTTGGTGGATGTCTGACCCCAAAACGCCTTAAAATGTTGAAATGCCATTACAGGATCCTTCCTTCCTCCCCGCTATTAAAGATGCAGTTCTGAAAAAGCTTGCAGTAGTTGATTTTAGGATTATTAGAATGGGGTGTTTGTAGAGGAAGTATTAGTAAAATCAGTGTAATATTTGAATAAATCTACTTCTGTTTATATACTTTTCCTGCTCTTACAAAGAATATTTGAAAGAGGAATGTAGACTCTAGTGTAAAATCTTCGGAGGAAGTTTAATTTCTGGCATAAATGTTTGTCCATTTAGACACTTGGGTATTTGAGGAATTGGATGTGTATGTTAAAGTATTTAGACTGCTCATGTGCATATCTGTAGGATAAAACCTTGAAGAGCTGTCTGTGTCTCAGTGGGAATTACATTGCCTGCTTTCCAAATGAAAATAAAAGACTGTTACAATTCAGATTATCCTCAGATTATGCTTGTATATCTTCAGTGCAGACAAAGATATGATTAGGTGGGCAAATGTGCGCAGTTACCTGTATCCTAGCTAGCAGTTACCTGTATCCTAGCTAGTTTACCTCCAGGATTAGTCTTCTTCTTCTCTATAGCTAACCAAATAATTCTATCAAACATTTATAAAGTAGTCCAAATTGAGCCCGAATTACCTCGTCTGTGTGAATAGCAGATGGTTTTTTTGGGTCACACTGTAGGTAAGCTCAAGGCAATCATGCACCCAGGGGAATACATTTAGAAATTTGCTGTAGGTAGAAATGCCAACTTAAATGTAGTCAATTCCTTCTCATTTTTATTATCTGTCATCACCTGCACAAGCTCCAATTCTGAAATCTCTAATTCAAATATAGTATGGTTTTTCTTGCTCCTCTGCTGTTGGCATTACTTTGCTGATAGCCCAATATTAACAAAACAAATACCATCCCAAAGCAATAGTTGCAGCACTTAAGGCTTCAGTTTCTCATAGCAAAACTTAAGGATAACTTCCAAAGAACAAAAATAAAAAAAAGTTCTCTGTAACATAACATGAATCTACATTGAAAGTTTTTTTTTTTTAGGTTTTTTTTTTTTTTTTTTTTTTTTTTTTTTTTGTAGCTAAAACCCCCATAAATTGTACCTTTTGGGTTTTGAAACAAAGAAGTGAGTTGCTTTATGGCTTATTAATATTCTGCATTTTTTTTTCCTGGTAGCTCTTACTTAGCTGGGAATTTAATAGAAACCCTGATGAACCATTAGGTGTTTACTTATGTAAGATGTGGTTTGATCAATGCTTTGCACGTTTTTTTTTTCCCAGGGCAGTTAAAGTTGCAGGAGAGTGTGAGGAGGGAGGAAGTGGAGTACACTTCCCTTTTTAATAAAAACCTCTCTTGGGAGAGCAGAATATTAGCTTTTTTTGCGTGTGATTTCAGGTTAGAAGATAGACAAATACTAATTTAAACCTTGCCTAAATGCAGAATGCTTTTATGAAAGAACAAATTCCAGGGTTTTGAGTAGTTTTCTGGAGTTCAGTGCTCCCCAGGCAGCAATTTAGAAAGGCAGTGCAACATATGTATACCTGTGTATATATTTTTATTAACAGTATTACTTGCACAACAGACCTGTGAGTTGCCTTCCTGGCAGCTCTTGGAGTCACATCTGTTTCCTTGTCCTAGTAGCCTGGATTTCCTTCTGATATTGTTTCATCCAGGACCTGATTTTCAAAACTGTATGCACAGTTATGTGTATAAAACTGTCTCCACAAACAGATTTAGGTTTGATGATGTTCATCATTGCCACACCTAACTTTCAGACAACTACTCCCAGAAATTTTGGGATGGGAAAGCCATTTACTCGAGGAACAAGAATTTTCTCTGCCTAGGTATTTGCCTGAGCTTGTAGTGTAGCTAGTATGCACTGTGTTTTCTAGCTAGAAATTAGTAATATACTGCTGAATTAAAAGACTGAAGTTAAAGATATTTTGCTGAAAAAATCCTGCAGTTTAATAACTAGTATATGCTATAGAAAATGTAAAAACAAGCTTATTAAATGTAAATAATGGAAAATATTAAGTCACTACCACTGTGATTGGGTCAGTTCCTGGCAGTAGTAGCTATTTGACAAAGCTGATGAAAGGAGAGGAAAAATGAATAAAATATAAAAGTAAAAAATAAAATTCTTGTTGAAAACTTTACTTTTTAATCTTTTTTTTTTTGGTGACATTCTCTGAATCCTGGTGGGAATGGTGAGTTTATCTGTAAACTTTTACATTCTTGGCTATGGCTTTTTGGCAACCTTTCCCCATGGACTTCCTTGGGAAAAAACTGGGCTTTGACCATCAAAGCTAGATGAATATAGAAAGATTTAGCAGATCAATCATGACTCTAAGAAATCAAACTTAGGAGAAGAGAAGTGAAGAAAGCACCCTGATGAATTAGGTTTATTTAAAGTACCAAGTTCTACTTTAGAGAAATGTATCTAGTAAATGAAACTACTTCAATATATTTAAAAAAAAAAAAAGCAAAAATGCAGCCAGTCTGCACAGATGCTCAGCTGACTCTGAATGTCTATATCCTGAGGAACTTACTACAACTGTGTTATCTCAAACATAAGTTCTTTAGATTAAGTCATAAATAATTCAGAGTAAATCAAGCTCTAACATTTGATCGCCAAACCCATTTATTTTGGCATAATTAATTCTGTGTTTTCATGTACAGTTTTAGGTTGATTCTGAACTCTTTTTTTCAAAGTTGCCAGGGGGTATCTGGTTGTCACATTTACAGTGAGAAATGTCATGCTGAGGCTGTTTATGTAACACAGGATTTAATCAGTGGACACTTGCAGTATCTGGTTGCTCCCATTTGTTCATTATAAAAAACTTGCAGTCTTAACTTTAGAAAGGTTTAAACCTTTCTAAATTTGTTACCCATAAGGCAGAGATAAAACAAATGTTGTCCTAGAGTATTTTTTTATTCTGTGTGTGTATACCAGGGGAAGGAAAAAACCTAGGAGACACTGTGAGTTTTTAAGTGTCTTAGGGCAGTTCAGTAGTTTGATGCCTTTTAAAAATTGCCAACATTGTTTTTTTGCAATTGATTAAGAGTTGTGAGTTGACTTTGTCTGGGTGCCAGGTACCCACCAGAGTTGCTCTCTCACTACCCTCCTCAGCTGGAGAGGGGAGAAAATACAACAAAAGGCTTGTAGTGTCGATAAAGAGTGGGAGAGATCACTCAGCAATTACTGTCATGGGCAAAACAGACTTGACTAGGGGAAAAATTTATTTCGTTTATCACCAATCAAATCAGAGTAGGGTAATGAGATACAAAACCAAATCTTAAAATCACCTTCCCTCCATCCTTTTCTTCCCTGTCTCAAGTTCACTTATGTTTTCCCTGCCTCCTCCCTTGAGCAGCACAGGTGGATGCAGAATGGGGGATGTGGTCAGCTCCTGCACTCCTTCCTCCTCAGGGGGAGGATTCCTCACATTCTTCCTCTGTTCCAGCGAGGGGTCCCTCCCATGGGAGACAGTCCTCCATGAACTTATGTCAGTCCTTCCATGGGCTACAGTTCTTTGTGAACTCATCCAGCCTGGGTCTCTCACAGGGAGTGTGGTCCTTCAGAAACAGGCTGCTCCAGTGTGGGTGCCCCACGGTGTCACCAGTCCTGATAGCAAGCCTGCTCCAGCATGGGCTCCTCTCTCATGGCTTCACAGGTCCTGCCAGGAGCCAGCTCCAGTGTTGGCTTCCTACTGTGGAGTCCCAGTCTCTTTGGGGCATCCAGGTGCTCCAGCATGCCATCCCTGTTGGATCTCTGCTCCCCACAGAACCTCTGTGGGCTGCAGGGGGATATCTGCTCTGGTGTCTGGAGGACTTCCTGCCCCTCCTTCTGCACTGATTTTGAGGTCTGCAGAGCTGTTATTCTCCTGTATTCTTACATCTTGCAGCTGCTGTTCCTCTCTTTTTGTGCCCTTAAATACGCTATTCCCCATTAAATCTGTTATCCCAGAAGGGCTACTGTTGTCTCTGACTGGCACAACCTTGGCCAGCTGTGGGTCCATCTTGGAGCCATCTGGTGTTGGATCTCAGACATGGAGAAGCTTCTGACAGCTTTAATAGAAGCTAGCCTGTAGTCCCCTTGCTACCAAAACCTTGCCTCACAAACCCAGTGCAAGAATTCATGGATCTAACATCACACTTGAAATAGTAATTCAGATGTGTTATTTTGGTTGCAGGAGAAACCAAAACTCCCTCATTTTCACAGGTGATTTGTTGAAATTAAATGAGAAAGGGACTGTTACCTAATGCTGTGTTTGCTTTTCTCCATGTACTTTTTGTCTCTGTTCTTTGCCAACTCCAGGCTCATGCTGATCCTCTGTGTCCCAAGCTGGCGGCATCTGTCTGCACTCCAGAGAAATGTGACCAATGTAGTCTAGGCCATTTCCTAAAAATCACTGCCAATATTTTACTGGTTATTCATCCTGGAGGAAAATTTTAGTGAATTTTTCTCTTAATTCTCTGTATGTCAAAAGGATAAACTGTGTGAGCAGGGAAACAAACTACTCTTTTCCTAACATCTGTCTTTTGTGATCATTTAGATTTAACACTTGGAAGGAAGCATGGCTTTCTAGTTTTGCAATGCTATTTTAGATACTTCATATAGAAATAAAATAACCTAAATGGCTAGAACTATGTTTGGTGTGTTTATTAATGAAGAATTTGTGTTCTCATTTCTTCTTATGTAAAAGAAATGGCTGCAAGCAAATGACCTTCAGAAAGAAGTGTACCAGCATCTGGCCTATTATGTACCAAAAATTTACTGCAGGGGCCCCAACCCTGCCCCTCAGAGAGAAGACATGCTGGCACAACACGTTTTGCTGGGACCAATGGAATGGTATCTTTGTGGTGAAGATCCTGCATTTGGTTTTCCAAAGCTTGAGCAAGCAAACAGACCTTCTCACCTCTGTGGCCGTGTCTTTAAAGTGGGAGAGCCTACATATTCTTGCAGGTAGTTCAACTTAACATTGGGAAATATTTTATGATTTATGAAGTCATGGAACATTTTGTAATAAGAATATACTGTCCTAATGAAAAGTTAATACCCAAAATGTGTTTTTAAGGTAACCTTGCAGTCTTCCATGACAGGTGGGATCAGGGGAAAATTAACACCTTACAGATGTATAAATGGAGAAATATTAATTAGTGTAGTATAGAACTTTTTCTTTACAAAAGAAATGAAAGACTAAGAAAGTATTTGGGGTGACCTTTCAGGGTGATTTGGGGGTATTAATCAGAAGTAAGTGGGAAAGTGTATGTGTGTGTATTTTGGGTGTTTAATATTGGCTGTTAGTGTTTGTCCTGTATTTTAGACCTCTTTCCATGACCTGCTAAACTAATCTAACAGATGCTTAAAACAAGTGTATCAGCTTCTAGCTCCTTCCCTACCTCTATCTCTATCTCTAAAGTACAAATACTTTTACTTGAAGGAGAACAGGAAGTTCCTAACCAATTAAAAGTATTTAAAAGAATCTTCAGTTTTAAGCCATTGTATTACTACCTGTAGGTTCATTTTCATATTCTGTTTTCTGAACTGTTTGTAGTTTAAAACTTTTGTTTGTGTCACAAATTCCTCTCATTTTGTGTGGTTTCTACCACTTACTGGGACACTTGAACACTTGGTGAGGTGACATGGGGATAGAATGTCTCTCTAATTTCAAGGGTTTACTTGTCTGGGTTTCCATCCCCTTCATTTGCAAGGGAAGAATAGTAGTGAAGAATTTTTCTTTCTAGTGCTCTCCTCTTACAGAAGCATACCTTACTGGCCTTTGGGTTTGAAAATGCTTTGAGACCTCTTTACAATGAGAGGGATAAGACTAAACTGCTGGGTTCTTCAGATACATATTGAGTTGTCAGTCTTGAAAAAGCAAGTGTGTTTAGAAGAAAATTGCAGAATTTCCAGCATTTTCATTGCTCTATATGAACAGTATTTGATTATTAACGTACTGAGGATGGAGTCCCTCTCTTTTTTTTGTTGATTGGGAAACATTTGATTCCTGTTGTGTGTTAATTTTCTTTAACTTATGGCTGGTAATGAAGAATAATCAGAGTTTAATTTAAGCTTTAATTATTTTCCAAGTCCACATTAAAAGCAGTGGATTTTCTGTGTAGTTGTGCAGCTTACAGGTCTGTTTCTGCTTTAGGTATAGGCACAGTTACTTGTCTGAGAAATTACTTGATAAACGGTACCGAGCTTGTAAGTACACTGCCACTAGTGCACTTGAGAATGAAGAATGAACATTCAATATTATAGAACTGATCTACCAAGTCCTGCAGGCACATTGTTGCATGAAGTGGTGGTTTATTTGTTTGGTTTTTTTTTATCTATAAAAAATAATGCCATGGACATAAACTGTTCTAAAACAAAAAGGCTTTGTATAATTTTGCTTTGACATTTTTACCATTTGTGGCTCTTCTGGAGAAAACATGTGCATACTATGTCATGCATAGTAAGTTATGGTTGCCTTAGGATCTTTCCATCATTTATTTTGAGAATTTTTTATAATGAGACTTCATGTGATCTCTAGCGTTTTCTTTTAAACAAAATAAGTTGTTTCTCTAAATTCTAGTTTTAATAATAATCATAAGACAGACATTCTCTTGCTATTTATTTTTACATTGCAAAACCCAGCTGCCTTAATTTTGCGGTGCCTTGAAGTCAGTTGCATTAAGTGAGTTCATGCATTTTCAGTGTTTTTCAGGGAGACAGTTAAATATAATGCATAATTATCTCATTTGTTTTAGCCCTTTTTACCAGAAATATTCCTTCTGTCCAATACAGGAGACAAGACGTTACGGTCTCTGATCTCCTGGTTGAGAAAATTGTGTTCTTGCAGCTCATCAGTGAGCTTGTAGGGCTGAACTTGGAAGCAGAGGTTTGATTTAGTCTGTTGTGTGCTATCTTTCTTCCCAGTTTTCAGTGAAAAATGTCCTCTCTGATTGCTGGAGATCATTAATGCTGGTACTCTGTACTTGAGAGAACTTACTTGGGTTATGTAATTCATCTGTTTATTTGCCTGCATACTTGTTTCACCTCTTGAAGGCAATATCTGTATTATGCAACTAGACATACTACCCACACAATATTTTAAAGGCTCTTATGTGTGAGAACAGTTTTTTTTCTATTCCATTTGTTTCTCCTCTTTAAAGCCATCCCTTTCCTCTTTCAGAGTAATATATACATTAGTTAGGTTTATACGGATGATATTTGAAAATTATCTGTTGTAAAATGTGTAATTAAAGGCAAAAGCAGATGTTTAATGCTTTTTATTTTTCTTTCTTTCTGTTGTTGCTGTTCTCAGAGACTGCGCAGTTGACCCAACTTGTGTGTTGTGCATGGAATGCTTTCTTGGAAGCATTCACAGAGAGCACCGATACAGGGTTAGTGATCCTGCAGGATAATGACATAGTTATTATTGATTTTGTGTGTGTGTGAAACAGTTTTGAGTTTAAGAATGTATACAGTATTTCCAAATGCTGAATAAACACAAAATTCACAATGTCTGCAATAATCTTATGAGAACTTGAATGTTTTGATCTGAGTGTAACTTCTGGAAGTTAACACTTTAAAATATTGAGCAATTAAATTTTATGTAAGTTAAGCTTACAAATGTATGTTATTTTGAACACATTCCCATTAGTGAATTTTACACTGGGTTTTGAATTGTTTTGACTTCTGTGTTTGACTGTTTTAAAAAGCTATTGAAAAACCTTTATTAAGAAGCCTCTTCTATGTAAAGCTTAAACATAAAGTTAAAATAGAAAATGAAAACTGTAAATGGTATTTATTTTAGTAATATAATGTTATTTGTAGTACAGATTAGTTTAAAAAATCCTGCAAACAAAGCCAGGAAGACCTTGGTGTGTCTTTAAACTAAAAAGTTACATGGAAACTACCAGTGCAGCCTTTCTGTAAATCTGTTCTTTACAACACTGCACTGCTGCTGATGTAAATCTGTTCACTGCATAGTTAAACTGAGCACTAGGATTCAGGAAAAAACCTCCAAGCACAATAACTTTTATCAAGAAAGCCAGCCAAATCTGCTGATAACAGCTTACTTCTTGTACATTTTGAGCCTATTGAATTAACAAGTCTAAGTAACATCCAAAAAAAAGGGTAAGCAAATGTTCTTTCAAATGTCCGTCTAGTTTTATTGATACTGTAAGATGTGCCTATATGTATAGACTATATCAAGTACACCAAAACTAGGTGAAAGAAGAATTCTTCTATGCATCAGCTAATAGGTGTGATTCAAAAAAGAAGTGGTATTATGCTTATTAACTTGAGGTGGTCTTTAAAATAAATCATAAATCATCTTAAAACAGTGTAAATATTGCCTTATATTTCCCAATGCTTTTTTTCTGTGCTTACGTAGGTGAAAAGTTTAAGTCTCTCAATTCCTTTTGTCATAAAGCACATCTTTTACTCACTTATAATAATGCCATGTGAAATGATTTAGCTTTGTTCAGGTTAAAACTGTGAGAATTTGGCATAATACAGATGCCATGGCAAGTAATAGATTCAGAAAATCTGAAAACTTCAGGTGGGCCAGAATGGAAGTGTTTGAAGGTGTTTTGCTGTTTAGGGTTTTTTCTTTTGATGTAGGCACACTGATGTGGTAGACAAGTTCTCAGTTGTCATAAAAGTAGACATGATTCCACTGCTATTTTAGCAGGGTACTGTCTAAAGCTATGAGGTGTTGTTATCATGCTTTTGTAGTACAGCTGTGACTACTCATTTCTTATTGTACATATATGATATATATGCACACTCACATGAACTGTTTTGGTTTTAAATAATTTCAGATGACAACATCAGGTGGAGGAGGTTTTTGTGACTGTGGTGATACAGAAGCTTGGAAGGAAGGTCCTTACTGTCAAAAGCATGAACTTAACACTTCAGAAACTGCAGAAGAAGAGGTAATTACAATGGAGGCATCATGTTTCAAAACATTGTTAACTGTGTGTATGTGTATGTATATGTATAAATTGTTCCCATGAGGTTATTTTTAATCTTGTACACTCTGCATGAGAGGTTGTAGGGACTTTAATAGTAAAATTTGAACCACAGTGTTAGACAAAAATTAATGTCTCAAGAAGTACTTGAAAATGTTTTCTACTTAAAGGCTTCTCTTTATATGTTCTTCATCACCTCTGCAGCTTTAGTTCTGTTTCTTTGTTTTTCTGTATATTCTGAGAGGTCAAGGGATTCTGCCACATGCAAAAAATAAAAATTTGCACATAATCATTTGCACCAAGAAGCCAAATTCTGCTGTCGGTGCAACAAATATTTTGATTCTTACCAAAGGGAAGTGTGCAGATTTTTAAAATTCAAAATACCTTGCTCTCCTTGCTCTCACAGCAAAGTCATAATGGAGATGTAAGGCAGAGGCCTCTAAAAGAGCTTGTTTGGTATGGAGAAGGTAAATAAAGAACCCATCTTCACAACAGATTGATAGCATAACAACTTGGATATATTAAATGCAAAAACGCATGCCACGTCTTACAGGAGGAACTCAAGCTGTTGGACTAACCACTGCAAAACACTGTTGTTAAAAGTTTATGCATGTTTGAAAGGAAATTTAACGTGGATTGGAGGGAAAAATTACCAATGGCCATTTAAAATTGTAGGTACCATCTTTGGTATGGGAAATGTTAGTGTCTTAAGTAACTGGACACCAGAGAAGCATTCTGTCTTCTGCTTATAGTCTTATCTGTTATTACATCTCAGGAGTGAATGTGACTAATTTGGCTTCTGGCCTAGCCACTCATATCTGTTCTTATATAGTATATAGTGTGTAGATACAGATATAGATAAATAGATAGATATAGATATGGATATATATAGATAGATATAGATATAGATATATATAGTATATAATACTGTGAGATTTTTTTTAAAAGGGAAAATCTAAGGCAAGCATTGGTAGTAATTTTGCTGATCTGATGGTTTAAGTGAAGCAACTGTAATTGTATTTTCAGTGGTCTTTCTAAAATCTGTTCTCGCTCTCTAGCCCTAAGACTCTAGCATGGCTGCTGGACTCGCCACTTGGTCTATGTGCCAGGTCACATTAATTAGCAGCCTTAGGAAACTCCTGTTATGAAATCTTGGGTGGACTGCTACTTCTGTGCCCAAAGATACTCAAACAGTGAGTGTGACTGACAGAAAAATCAAGGTTCTGGGCAGCTTTGTGTTTCTTCCCCATAAACCATGGAGATTGAAGTCTCTTATGCAGTGTTGTTTGAGGTAGATTAAGGATGTTTTTTTGAGCATTATTGGAGCTTGTTTTCTGCCTTGCCCAGGTATGTGCCTTTGTTGAAAGTGCTGGGAATGGAGGGAGAGCTGCTCCTTACGGTTTACCTTTGCTTTTGGTGGCTGATATTTCTTCATAACCTGGATAATTTTTAAATGAACGGGAAAAAAAAGAGAGAAATGGCAGTTGTTACCACTCTTGTAAAGCTTCCAAATATTTCCAAAGAATCTTTGGGTGTAGGGGATAAACTTTTATTAGTACAGGTGAATTGCTGACTGTCAAGCAATTCTTGTCAAAAACTTGTCAAGCAATTCATCTGCTTTAGATGATGCAGACTTAAGTTGAGAAAAGATTATTGTGGCCATTTTTATACAACCTAAGCTGTAGTGAAGCACAGAATTTAGTATTAGGTAATCATAAACCAGAAATTGGGCCACTGTTATTTTAATTGTCTAACAATTACACATACGTCAAAATATCAAATGATGAATCGGGTCAATGACCCAGTGTATAGTGTATGCCCAGGTGATCTGCAGGTTATGCAGCCTTGCCTTTCCAGGTTTGTTAGAAGAGCAACTAGCTGTTCTCAAACTTTTGATACAGTAAAAAACAACTTTCTTAAGAGGAGAGGTTTATAATGTTTTCTATTCAGCATCCTTAAAATGGACTGGAGAGAAATGGCAGTGGTACCTGCACTATCTTATTCAGAGTTGCCAGTGGTTCTCCTTTGCTGCTCCAAAAAGTAGTCCATTCGACTCAGCAGACTGAGGCAGCTCTCCTCTTCCTTCCTCTTCCCCTCCACATTTCCATTCCCTCACCTGCAGCAGCCACCATTCTGCTCTGGCACAGAGAGCTGGAGAAGTTTGTAAGGGCTGCTGCAGTTGTCAGATGGAGAACAGAAAATGGGCACAAATGGTTGCACGGTCTGCGGACAAAAAGGGAGCAGCTCTCTGTGAGCAAGACTGGGACATGGACAGAGCATTATGAAACCTATTTACATTTCAGCAGTTAATTGTTTATATACCACAGCATATAAGAAATGTGCATCATAAATCATGATGCCAGCGTGCTGCATGTTGTATAAGCCTGGATAGATAAGACTTATACCTTTTAATGCATGCTGCATATAAAACAGGACATGAGATGCATGGTTGTTTGTATTCTGCAGTTTATTAATATTGATAAATGGAACAAAAGATACAGGGATTTGAAATTATGATTTTGTAGGCATAGCAGAAGAAGGAGATTTTAATACAGCTGAGGTTTATGTTCTTCCAAAGAGCTATCTTAAAAGGTGTGCAGGAGTGAGACTCTCACGGAGAGTGAGAATGGAAGAATGTGTCAAAATGTAAATGGGTGATCAGAGGCAAGTTTACATTCAGGTACTGAATGTTAGATTAGAGCTTTGGTGACTGTCAGTGTAGAACTGGAAGAAGAAAACAGGATGATTATTGACTGTTCTTTTCAGCTGAAAAGTCATTTAAAGAAAGACATCATTAAAGATTCTTACATCATCTTTGATAAGGAGAGGTGCAAATTGGACAGTTTTGAGTGTCATTTAACTCCTTGTTTGCTATTTATATTTACTTTCCAGGATCCTCTTGTGCACTTACCAGAAGATATGGTAGCAAGAGCTTATAATATTTTTGCCATTACATTTAAATATGCAGTAGATATATTAACATGGGAAAAGGAAAATGAATTGCCTGGACTAGAAATGATGTAAGTATAATCTTTGTCTTCTGCCTTTTAAAGGCTTACAGATATTTGCAGTTTAAAATGCAAGTTCTGATTTAAGAATCTTTTCTGCCTCTCCTAAAATTGTCAGAAATATTTTGTATACAATAACTGTAGTAGAGTTGTATTTTTCATATTTTTTCCTTTGCTCTTGCTTTTCCTTTGACGTGGCTTTAAATGACATAAATTCAATCCATGCTTTGAAGTGAGAAGAGTGACACTTACTACTGCATGCTGTTTAATGATGAAGTCCATACCTATGAACAAGTTATTTATACTCTTCAGAAGGCTGTCAACTGCACACAGAAGGAAGCCATTGGTTTTGCAACAACAGTAGATAGAGATGTAAGTGAATTAATTGTTAGAACTTTTAATTATCTTGACCTAATGTTTGTTTTATGACTATACTTACTTTAGTATATTTTCCCAAAGCATGTGGTTAATGTGAGTCTGTAAGTCCTGTGTGTCATACCACATAAAATGCCTTAATAATAAATACTAAATGTCTCAGTGCCTAAATACTATTTGGCCAGTCCAAACCAGACCTGATACTGAATATGTTTCAATGTAAATGTATTCTAGTAGGTCTTTTAAGTGCAATTACCAAGGTGTTTCTCAGTCCTCTGTCAAGGATGGGTAGGAGCTTTGGCCCTTCCCTTACTGAACCACGGAGCTGATATTGAAAGAGCCCCTAAATATGTTCCAAACATAGGAAATGCTTCTCAGAGTAACACCAATTGAGTGTGAGGGATAAAATCCATAACTGACTACTTTTGTTCTGGTGCTTGTGGAACTATTCATGGTTTGGGGTTTCTTTTTTTAATTTAATTTAATTTAATTTATGTTAATTTAATTTAATTTAATTTTGTCAGATTATAGTGGCAGGAAGAGGTAAAAGCATTTAACACAGTTTTCAGGAGGAACAGTGAGTTCAGAATTACTATATACTGAATATAATTGTAACTAGTATTTCAGTTTCAGAAGCACTTGAAGCACTCTGCTGTGTTGTGTGGCTCATGTGCATTTTTTTAAAGAAAGTGATACTTCATTGGGTAACTGCACTTTGTTATTTTTGCAATGAACCTGTAAGCAGTTGACATGAAAAATGAGTCTTTTTTACTTGGCTTAATGGCTTGTGCCTTTTTTTGGGGGGTGGTGTGGGAAGGAATCTTTTCCAAAATGGTGATGAGAATGTCATTTTGGGTGGTTAAAGTACTTCAAGGAGGTCAGTGGAGCAGGAAATATAACCGCTTCGTATTACTAAATACTGAACTAGATTTTGGTTTTGTGTTATCACTGCTCTGTTTTTTGTGAAGATTCATATCTGATCTCTGAATATGAGCTGACCTGAGCATGTGCTGTGTATTGTGGGATACACTCATTTTCCCTACTGTTGATCCCTTCTACTTCTAAATACACACATGAATCTATATATACATGAGCAAGTATGTGAAAGAAATGAGAATGTTATGCCTGAAGCAGTGATTTGGCATCAGATCTAAAATGCCAGTGAGTTTTCCCATGTACAGTACACTATAAATTCAATCAACTATCTATTTTCATGTATGGATTGACAGTGGAGAAAGACTGAAAACCTTCCTTTTGGAATAAAACAAGTGCTTCAATTGTATGTTTAAAAGACCAATTTACTTTAATATCTGCTTTTTATAAGGCACTGAAATGTCTAAAATATCTTCAAGTTATATCAGAACTAATGAATAATGTCTTTGTACTAGTGTTTCAAGTATTTTAATAAGTGTAGTTCTTTTCATTGTTCATCTTAAGAACAATATTAAACAGAAAATTTAATGTAACGGGTAACAGAATATATGATACAATTTTATCTTCTTTTAAAAGGTACAGGGTGCATTTGGAAAATCCAAGTATCTAACTATATACAGTAATTTAAAAAGTGAGAATAGCATGAAAGGCAGAGTAGTTAGCATGCATCTGAAGCTTTTGCTATGTTTTTTGTACTAATGTAAAACACAGAATTGGGATCTCATGTTTAGGAGCTGGTGGTAATGTTACATCTTTCTGAATTTGCAGGGCCGTAGGTCTGTTCGATATGGAGATTTCCAATACTGTGATCAGGCAAAATCAGTAATAGTGGTAAGTGATGGCAGTAAGGGATGTTACTTACTTAACTGCCTCATCTTAAGCAAAAGGAGGCTTTGCCACCCAGTTTGTGATACTGTTATCATAAAGACTCATTATGTTTTAATGATACAAAGTGTTGGAGATACTATTTGCAATATAGAAGAGATATCAAAATACTGGTTTATGGGGCTTTTATTGTTGGTGATCTTTTGTTGGGTTTTTTTTCCTACTATGGCCTCCCTGACACTGAAAATAATTTTCTAAAAAGAAGTTTGTAGGCAATTTTTTCCTTCGTAAAACAGATGTGGCCAGGACTTTTGAACGTATCTTTTAGAATTACATGCTAGTACAGATCTGTGAAGTTAAATTATTGTAGTTTTTCTCCTATAGTGTGAAGTTGCTTATGTCTTTCACAGCAACAGTTATGGAAATTATTACTGATTGAATCCAAGTGTGAAACTGCAAATACTTTAATTTTACATCTATGCATTTATGTATGTATATATATTAATATCTATATATTGCAAGATTCTTCCATGTAAAAACATGAGAATAGTGTTCTCTTTTAATATTTTATTAAGTGCTGCAATGAAGTACTTAATCACATGAAATAGTTTTATGTGTAGCATCTAACTATTATGCTTTCTAACACATAGATGAGGGTAAATTCTTTATTGTTTTAACCCTGTATATTTAATTTGTATTTTTGAAAATAATCTGTGGACAGTCAGTTTCCATGATGGACTGCTGTGTGACTTGCCTGTCATGTTGGGAGGGACAAAAATGCACGGCTGTGTTGGGTTGAACGTGTGATTGCTTATCAGTAAAATGCAGCAGATCAGTGTGAGCATTGATAACAGGCCAAGAGTGGAAAATGGATTGACCTAAATATGCTGATATTGCATAATAAGGTCCTTCAAATATTAATAGGATAAACAAAGTTCAGAGATTTTTGGGTTTGCTATGTAGGTGTTAGTAATTAGAATATGTATTAATATTATAAATTATAAAAATTAATTGTAGGAATGTTGTATTTCTGTATAGAAGTATATGCTAGTCCTCACATAAATATGCATTGCCTCCTTTTTCCTTTTCTTTTTAAGAGAAATACCAGTCGTCAGACAAAGCCATTGAAAGTGCAAGTTATGCATTCATCTATTGTTGCCCATCAGAGCTTTGGTCTGAAGCTTCTAACTTGGCTTGGCAGTGTTATTGGATATTCAGGTGGGCAAAATTAGCCTTTTTGAGATAATTTAGAGAATATTTGTGAGAGGAGCTGATTTTGCTGAAGCAATTTTGTCTACTTACTTCAGATATGTAATGTATAAGGCAAAGCTATTAATAACTTGTCAGACTTCATTCTGTTTTCTCTTACTGGAGTGCTGTTCTGAATTTTAGCTTCCATGTGAAAGTGCTACCAGTCTTACGTAGTCTTTTCTTTTTAGTTGTTTAGTTGAACAGAAGCTGAGACTTGCTGTCAAATGCAGTATGCTAAAAAGCTATTTTTTCAGTCCCTACTTCTTTTTAAGCGAATGCAGTAAGCTGAAAATAACCTGTCTGATTAGATAAAACAAAATTATTCAGAAGTAATTTGATGAATGATGACGAAAGTGATTGCTTCAGATTTTTTGCTAAGTAGAACAGAGAAAATGCAAGGAATTGTGGAGGGTTTTGGTAAGTATAAGAGCTTACAAAGTCTTAATCAGATTTTTTTAAAGAGGCTTCTTCAAAGGAATCAAGATGCACAGTGTCAGATTTTATGGGAGTGCTCAGTTTTTGTTTTGACTTGGTTCCCCCTTTATCCTGGTAAATCATAAGATTGTGAAAATGTAGGGTATAAGGGGGAATAAAAGGAAAAGTAACAAACTGCTGATATGAAGAAATGTAGATACAGACCCCCTTGCAATTTGTATTTTTTTTCATCTGGAAGTGTTAGCAAGAAGTATTAGCAAAGCATGCTTGGCTGTTATATTGCATGTATGTTTTGCATAGATGCAACATTTCTTCAGAGACTGTTTTATTAGACTGATAGTTGGACAACTAGCCAAGATTTCATGCACAGAGTCTTTATAACATGTCCTTGTTTTTGAAATATAAGTGGTTTATGTTTAAGTTTTAAAGATAAGTAAATCAAACTTTTGAGCAAAACTTAGGGTAGCAGTTCAACTATTTTCCAGTGTTGCTGATAAACAGTAGGAATTAATAGAAAGGAGTTATGAAGATAGTTTATTTCTGTGATAAATTTCCCTTTCAGTAAAACATGTAAGCAGGCGCTGTCTTTCTCATTATAAGCCCAGTCTTGTGCCATGTCATTTGTGCCTTGTGCCACAGTCATTAATTTTCAGTGCTAAATGACAGTTACAAAGAAGTAACTTAAATATGTCAATAGCATCTCAAGTTACAGAAGAAAACACTGAATTTTGTTTGGGTTGTGTGTGTAGTGTTTCTGAAGACTTCAGCTTGTTTAATGCCGAGTTCTTTATGATTCAGAAGGGCAAAAGGCATGTTTGGCTTTAAACAGCACACGTACATTTTGTCTTTGACCAGTGTGCTCATTTGCTTGAACTGCCTTCCATGTCTTGGGATGCAGTCTTGTACTGTGAAATGCACTTCTGAAAGACTTGGTTTCCTTTAGCTTTTTAACCCACACCCAAAAAATGAAATTCTGCTCAGTGTTTTAAATGTGTTTGTCTGTTACCAGTCATTTGTAACTTGGGGTGATAGAGATGCACT